AGGTAGGTGGTATTGGTTCTCAATGACACTTTTAACAGCATAACACTACACTGATACCAACAAATTCCAATCGTTGTGGGGTTTTGTTGGGGTCAGTGTGTTAAGCCTGTTGTTTTTTGTTTGGGCGGAGTGAATCAGCCCATACACAGTGTCATAAAAGAATGATACAATCAATAGTACGTTTTACCTTGCCTGTAAAAAAGTGACTTTGCTAGCTTTACAAAAAGAACTTAGGTAAGTGATTCAGACTGACTAGTCATACGGATCCTCACAAACCTTGTGCATTTACTACATACCTCAAGATCACAAAATAAACTAGAGTCCGAACAAATCTGTGAGGCAGCAGCAAGCAGACAGGTATATGTGGCCTTCAGGTTCTGCAGCAATTATTCTGTCTCTCTAGGCTTCTTCGGTTGGTGACTTTGTAATGCTAATAAATGAAAGCTTTCAAAGATAAGACCATTACTCTCTGTACAAAATGCAGAAAGTTTTCCTCACGGCAATGTGAAGTTTTGAAGCTTTGACCAATATCATCGAGGGAAATTTCACTACGAGACTCATTATTTCACCTCATCAGATTATCATAGGCAGAAGCCCAGAAGGCAACTCTACTTTCAGCTGTGAAACAGTGTGTACCAGCCACACAGTTATTCACCTTAAGCATTTCTGTAATTGGCTAATTAAAAGATGAGGTTTTGTTATGGTATTATCTTTAAGAACCCACAATCAGATTAGACTTTGATTAGACTTTAAATAACAAACCTATAACAGGAAATGTTCATTTTGAAGAAGGGAATAGAATTTCGTATGTGGTTTTGCATGAAACGGCATAATAATGATTATTCCTCAGAGTACTATTGACGTTACCCAAACATGAAAGTTCTTCATTTACTCATGTCATTCAAAACCTGCATGCATTTCTTCCTTCTGTGAAACACATACACACACAAAGATATTTTGGGAAAAAATCCATATTTTTGTTTTAAACTTCATTGATTTTCATTATGTGGACAAAACAGTTTTTCAAAATATCTTGTTAGTTTGCGTTCACCAGAAGAAAGAAGGTCACAGAATGACATGAAGGTGAATAAATGATCACAGAAGTTTCATTTTTGGGATAGTTACCCCTTTAAATGGGTTACTACTTTACATTTTGTACTGCACAAAGTTTAACTTGTGTGTCTATTTTGTTCAATAACCATATTGAGGAGACAAAATCTGCAATTAATTTGCTATTCATTTTGAATGTTGCCTTTTGTGTTTCATTACTGTTGAACAGTCTATAACAGGCTGCTTAATAGCAGGATCCATCATGACAACTTAGTCTAACAATATGCGCACTATTGGGGGCATGTTGTCACAGAAAATTCAACATGTGTTCGGCTGTTTTTTTTTTTTGTTTGTTTTTTTTATCTGGACAACAAAGGTAGAAACGTTCAATAGCTTCTTTTGTAGCTAAGACTTCAAGGTAGGTGTCTGTATAGAATGTGATGTTCAAAAATAAAGGCAGAAGTGTGAAAGCTAGCCCCAGTCTCCACTATTTACTTCCTGATTATTCCTTCTTAGAACATGGGGACAAATTCATCCTTTATAAGAAAGGATAAACACAGTCCAATCGAAATCCGGTTACCTTGTGTTTTACTGAACAAAGAGAGGGCCAATCAATCCCAGACGATGCAGTTTGTGAGACACATTTTGTGACACCTCAGCCGCCGGTCTGGGAGAAATGATCACTCATGTTACCCTGAGGGCCACAATAAAAGGGAGGAAAGCTGGCTTTCACTGTCAGACTCTCTGCGCTATTGAAGCACTTTCCTCCTCAGATGACAGTTCGACACAATTGTACTAGCAAAATTTATCTGACCCCCATCTCTCCAGACAGACTGTCTTTCCCACACATACACACACATTTACCCACCCACGATTTGAAGCCAAATAAAAGGGACAACAGCACCCTCTAGAGCAGAGACGGAGAAGTAGAAATCAGTTAAGAGCCATTAATGGTGCATTAACCTTTCCTGCTGGAGGAAATGATCTACTGTGCCTGCAGAGACACAACACCCACTACTGTTTTGCCGATGAACCTTCGGTCCGTTAAGATGAAAGGGGACCAGTATCTCAAGGGGTTTTGCCAGTTTTGTAATGTGTTAATGTGTGTTAATATCAGGATTGTATAAACAGCTTTAATCCCTATGCGGTGTGGAAGAGCACTTCTGTGGCAGCATACATTTCACACCCTCAGTGTTTCATTGTGACTGTAAATCCGGATCAGAGTGGATGTCTCACAGTAACTGGATTACAGAGATCTGGATTACATTTGTCCTCCACATGCTTAGCCTGGGTTTATTATTTACTTAGTACAAACGTTGGTTCAAGAGGGAAATAGAAGCAACAAGAACCTGGGAGCCAGTATAAGTCATATTAATTCATTTCAGATCCCTTGTAAACACCAGCTTAACTGTGGCAACAAGCCTATATGGCTGCTAAAAGATTGCTTGTGTAAGATCCGATATTACCAGGGAACTTTTGTTTTGCTCTTTGCAGTTTTTAAATCAAAACTAATCCAGCTACTACTTTATTCGTAGATGTAAAGTTGTACTTGTAATGTAGATAATGTCATAATCTGATTACATATTTTAACTGTATAAAACAGTCCCATACAGTATTGTAAAGTCTGATTCTAAGCACTTTCTTAATGTGAATTGTACAGTATATAAGAAAAATCCTGATGAATTAATTAATTAATTAATAGTAGATACATGAGCAGTAAATACATTAAATGTTTAAATAAAAATTGAAATGAATAATTTATTATAGATATTAAAACTAATAATTTATAGTGTAGAAAAGTCATTTACAAAACTAATATATACTAAATGAGTGAAGTACAAATATGTTAAAGAAAATGCAAAGATTTCCTTTAAAATGTGTTCTACATCACATCATTCGTGCATAACTTTATTTTTTATATTTATTCATTTTGTATTTTTACTGTGTACTTATTTAAATGTAAATTAAAATTGATTCATTTAAAATTAATATTTAAATCAATTTATTTTCTCGCTTATAAATTATTATTTATATAATTTTTTATTAGGCCTATTATTATTTTGCTCCACTGCCCTGTTATTGCCTGTGTGAAGTTTGTATTTTCACGCACTTTTTCTTCTCTCTATCTCTTCTTTTTTCCGTTATGTTTTTTTTTTTTATCTGGACAACAAAGGTAGAAACGTCCAATGGCTTCTTTTGTAGCTAAGACTTCAAGGTAGGTGTCTGTATAGAATGTGATGTTCAAATAGCTCAACACAGGAGAAGGATTCTCCAGCATACCGATGCATCTGAAGAGTCGCGAGGGTCACTCACAGGCGGACAGTGTAGAGTACAGATCCTGGACAGCAAGCGATCTGGTTCAAAAGAGGCTATGTCATGCTGGAAGAACCATACCTGAACGGGTCAACACGGCTTGTCAGCTACTTACATTCGCAGTCTAACATCTCTAACCCAGCAGTTTCGCTTCAATTCACACTCTGCAGAGGCTGTGACAGACAGGATCTATCCTGGGAGGACCCGCGATTCACAACTTCACTTAAGTGACTTAAAGCAGTTAATGTGTGAAAAATCTTCAAATAAAGCGAAACTGACTCTACAGGTAAACGGACGGAGAACCTAAGCAAGCAAGACTGCTGGAACTAGACGTCCCATTGGTGAACGAATCATTCTGTTCAATGAATCAGTTACACCTGTTCACGAATTGAATTGAATCAGCAAGAGCAGTTCTCCAGTCAACAACTGACTGACTCGCTGACTCTTTCATATGGGATTCCTTGTGAGCATTTGGAATAATTGAGCGAAAAGTAAGTTACTTGAATAGCAGAAATGTAACAAATACATTCACTCCCCCCCCCACCACCTACAATCCCTGCCAGTACGATACTCGAACACGTAACCTTTGGGTTACGAATCCGACTCTCTAACCATTAGGCCACGACTTCCCCTTATCCCTTACCCCTTACCCCTTACCACAAATAAAACCAAAAAACACATGGTTACCTATAGTTAAAAAATGGTAACCACAAATTAACCATGGTTTTGCTACACTAACCATAGTTTAACCATGGTATTTGTAGTATAACTGTGGTTATACAAATGGTAATAAATACGGGGAAAAAAACTATGGTTACTACACTTTTACTACAATTAAACCATTATATCATAAAACCAAAATTAATTTTCGTAAGGGATTAGATAAATGGCCGTAGAAAACTGAACTAGGACACAAGAAATTGCAACAAACATCTTATTAATACAAAATGACAAAGTACAATAAACATTCAAATGTAGCCTACCTGTTTGGTTTTAGCATGCCACGCAAGAATAAGGACCGCGCGATTACGTAATTGCGTCAAGACGCAAATAATCACATTATTTAACCGGTTCTTTGAAACTTGCTGTTTAAAAGAGTTGTTTCTTGGAAATGAGTGGGACTTCCACTCATATAGCCTTTGCATGCAACAAATGTGGCAAAACCTGTTGCGTATTTAATCCAGCAGGTGGCAGCAATATAGTACGTCCCTTGATATTGATGAACGTAAAACGCTTCTGATAGACGTGACCACGCCTCCACCGCGAGTTTGTGTCTGTTGTCAAGGAAGCGCGTCGATGGTTACCGACATGGCGCAAATGTTTCAGCTGTAGCGAGCGACGATAAAGGCTTACCTTTGCCTGCTTTAATTTAAAACCGTCAAGACAGCATTCAGTCGGCTTTGGTCTAGGTGAATTTCGTATCAAACTACTGGAAGTTATGAAGTCATAGGTAGTAAGTGTTCTGCGCTGTCTGTCTGTATTTATTTAGTAACTGGCTGGCCAGTCTTCATTTTGCTCTCATTCTTCAGTGCACCAATATTTTACTTTTATATATATTTACAAGCCAGCTAACGTTATGTTATTACGCGGCCGTTCCAACATCAATAAGATGCAGCTTTTCTTGTTCGGATGAGAAGTGTGGTGTGTGGAGACCTGTCATCAGCTTGTCGTCCTGATCTTCGGGATGCCAGTCCTGGAGGACACACTTTGCTACTCGTATCCTTTTCCTTGCCGGAATTACCAGCGTCTATTTATGTGGAGGTCGTTCTCATAGTTTTACTAGTGGCGCATAGACTACTGTACTTTAGAAAAACATTTAGGCTTTATTTATTATTCTTGCATAATGGACACAGCTAACTAATGACCAAGTATAGGGGTGCTGCTATACTGTGAAACATTATTACAATTTAAAAAAGAAAGAAAGAAAAAATATATTTGAATGTATTGTAAAATGTAATTTATTACAGTGATGGCAAAGCTGAATTTTCAGCAGCAATCTTTCTAATGATTTGGAGCTCAATTATTGGTGCTCAATTAGTAATAATGGTTCTTATTATTATCTAGAATTTCTTATTAATATCTTATATTATATATAATGTTGAACAAATTTGTGGAAAACCTTTCAGGATTCTTTGATGAATAGAAAGTTCATTGAAAGGCATTTATTTGAAATAGTTTTTTTTTTTTTTACATTATAATTACCTTTACTGTGACTTCTGGTTGATTTAATGCATACTTGCTGAATAAAAGTATTAATTTCTTTTCTTCTTTTTTTTAAATACATTGTACTTAACCCAAACTTTTGAATGATAGTATATCCCAGTTTTACATTAAAAATATTAAGCGGCAAAACTGTTTTCAACATTGATCAAAAATAAGAAATATTTCTTGAGCACCAAATCAACATATTAGAATGATTTCTGAAAGATTATGTGACACTGAAGTAATGGCTGCTGAAAATTCAGCTTTGCCAACACAAGAATGCATAACATTTTAAAATATAATAAAATAGGAAACAGCTATTTTAAATTGCAATAGTATCTCACAATATGACTTTTTACTGTATATGATAAAATAAATGCAGCCTTGGTGAGCATAAGAGACTTCTTTTAAAAAAAACTTAATTATTACAAACTTTTGGCCACCACCTGTATTTATTTATACATGTTATGTTTAGATATTACTTATATTTGTGTGTTTGTTTTTTTGTTGTTGTTGTTGTATCTTAGTGCTGTGCATATCATGAGATAATGTTTTATCCTATAATAATAATACCTTCCTTGACGTTCTATCACATTAGGAACATTAGATCAGATGTACATGAAGGGAATGAAGATGAAAGAGAAGCGTTGGTACAAGAACAGAGGTACTGTCGAACTCGGGCTCGCAAGCTTTCCCTGGAAACAAATCGCAGACGAAAGTAAGTGTGTCAAAAATAAATCCGATTTTATATTTATTTCATTATTGTGTAGAATATCTTAAAAAGGATTTATTTGTTTGAGAGACAAGTATTTGGATGCTGTATCATTTTTGTTTATTTACTTACTTATTTAGGTTTTAACCACTTTTAATCAACTTTTTGGTTTCACTTTTTCATTTCAGATGTCCTGTCCAAATTCATTTTTAGATGTACAAATATGTAATCTCTCCCTACTCTTAATTTAAAATTATGGAAACATTTGTGAGTCACTTAACATTAAGTCAATAATAGATCTTTTCTTACATTTTAGGCAAAAATGTAAATTCTTCACCAAACAACAATGAAAACACAAACTGAATAGATAATTTAATGTTTATTGGGGGGAAAAGTTTTGTTCTTTGCTGTCCATCCAAATTATTCATTTATAAGCATGTCAACATCTGTTTCCTTAAACATTTAATACATTGCAGCATGTATATTAAACTACACAGCTCTAGGCTTTCAGTCTCTGGGGACTTGTTATTAGATGAGCTGGCAATAACAAGAAAAAAATAGCGTCAGCATATTCACCAAGGAGGCAACTGCGCTAAAAGACTGCCGGGTGAGTGTCCCAGAGATCAGAAGAAATGCACAGCTGCTGAATCTAGTGTTGACAGTGAGTGTCAGATATACTAAGAACTGTCTCCATGCTGTTAATGGCTCAGTCTGGGTTTTTGACCTGGTCAGTCCCTGTGCACATTGAAAGTGAAGCTACCCTGCAGGGCAGAGATACTGTTATACAATCCTTTATTTGTCAGCCAGGATTTACCAGCAATAGAAGCTCTAATCAGCAAGAGCAAAGGAACATTACTTTATAGAAGGCAGTGATGGTGAGGAAGACGAGTGCGTCCCCCCACTGAGTTCAGAGAAGGCTGGGACACAGATCTGGAGCTATTTTTGTGGTGATTAAATAATTCCTGAAACATATCGAGTACATTACAGAATTTCATGACTATGTGCAAGAGTGTCAATGACAGGACACTCATTTTTGTCTTTATTCAGAAATAAATAAAAAATGCAAAGTTCATGCAAAAACACTTCTATGATGTGCATGCTTTTAATTAATGTATTAAAATAAATGTAAATATTTTAAAGTTAAAAATATCAAGGTGATAAAACTGTCCTAATATCATAATGAAGAAAAAAGCTTTATTAAAAGAAGGCAATTATGCAGTAGAAACCTTATTAAGTAGTAATCTTGTATTACAAATTCTTTAAAAAAGATTTACATTATAGGTGGGACCTGTGACTGTGTGTCAAGGTCAATAAGTCTCTTAAAATATTATTTTTTTAAATATTTATTTAATGTTTTTTTTTATAACAAAGCAAGGTTAGTTTAAGTTGCTACTATGGTAAATTATTTTGCATCAGTTTAGTTGCAATTCTACCTGACAGCTCAGTGGGTGCGCAGCACAGGCATGCACCAGTTTCTGTGCCATTAACAAATGAATTTAGCTGAAATGCATCTGTTACAGAAGTCTCAGGTTTCTGTTGACCCTTGAAAGTAAGCGTCTGAGATAACGCCAGCTTGCGCAAGGAGCTGATATTGCAAATTAGATTAAAGTCTCATTTCCATTTGAAGTCAAGTGGTGTATTTGATATGCTGCACACGGTTGCCAAACTTCTCATCCATCCGTCTTAAAAATAATTAATTATATCTTTAAGAGGACACAGTGTGTGCAAAGCATTGTCTATCTGTCAAAGGTCACAAATTTGTGTACTGTCTGATTGTCTCTCTAGGGCTCTAGAGGAGAGAAGGAAACAGTGGGATGTTCAGGAGCAGAGACTGAGGGAGAATATTCTACAGCAGCGCCATCAGAGGGTCCAGGATGCCACAGAGAACTTCCAAAGAGCTCATCTCCCTCCTTCCCAGAGAAAAAGACCAGGTAAGTTCAGCGAAACAGCCTAATCCATGTGTCTACATGCTCTCTTTATCTCTTGAACTGTCTGTTAGTGGTTATTATTAGGTCAGTATGTGATGTAAACATCTCATCCTCCGTTTAAATAAAGTAATTTGTGTCCTTCAGCAGCCTTTAAGAGAAGAACACTCAACCTTGATGAAGCACTTCATCACATTCAGGGCAGTCCGCACTTATACACTCAACAATCTCCATTTTTGGCAGGTGGCTCCACCATTAGCAGGTACGACATCATTGCCATGGCAAAATATTATTGGTTGAAGATCCATAACATTTTGTAATAATTTTTTAGAACTTTAATTAATGAAGTCCATTTTAAATAATATTTAATATCAAATATTAAAACATAAAAACTCAATCAATAGCATTTGTGAAAAATAATTTCAGTTATTTTTACAATGAATAGAAAATTGAATATCATATATAAATATACTTGTATAAATAAATGTTTGAATGTCATTTAATATATTAAACATTATATCATAATGTAATCATGTTTATTCATCTTATTAATTCAAGTCACTACTTTAATGAAAATGTAGCTACTTTTTTATTGTCTTTTTTATTTTGAATAACAGTTTGAAAAACATTACTTTTGGCAGCACTTCAAAAAATCATAGAGTTCTATACAATTTTTAGATATTAGGGAAGCCAGATTAATCATTTTAAAAGAAAACTAAAAACTTCTCTTCACTTATTTTAGCTTTTAATTAGCAATGACGTTTCTGAAGCATTCCATGCATTATCTTTTTCTTTTATTCCATATTTTAATTTAAATATTTTTATGCATTTTGTTGATAATCATTTTCATCTTTAATTGTATGTTACATTAAATATGGTAATTATGGCTTTATGCTTGTTGTAATATTTTTAGCATTGAACACACTTTGGGCTGCATTTCTTGAATAAAAGGTGCTTATTCATTATTACTATGTATTTCAGGAGCTGCACTCCCTCCCCAATGCCTTCAGGGGGCGCCCGTCACCTATGTGCCTTATCTGCAGCTGAGGCCTACGCCAATCTCCTGCAGGAGAAGAGCCTGAGTAACTTCAAGAACAACCAGCTGCTCTTCCTCAGTGAGCAACAGGAGACCCAGGCTGTTCTGAAAGAAAAAGAGCAGGCCGATCTACAGGTTAATATGCATACTCATAAAACTAAATACATAGTTAAACCATACCTGATGGTGTTCATTTAAAAAGCTGTTTATAATAAAATGTTGCTGATGAGTTTAGTCCATCATCTGGAAGTTTATGTAATGCCGAGTTGAGGCTTTTGTTTGTTTACAGTTACAAGATTGCAATTGTGATCAACTTCCTTCTACAAGTGATAGTTCACAGTGATTCACTAGGACCGTGATTGTGTGTGTTTAAAGGCCTGTTGGAAAAATTTGCTTAAGGAGTGTGTGAAGGTTTTTAAGATCCAATTCCAACTATTGGGGAAACAGAATGACATTGTAATTTTAGCCCAGGGCTCTTCCTGCCACAACATGCCGCAGCGTCTTCTGAACAAACGGAGGTGTTTTAAAGAAATGAGCTCATCCTGAAGCTTTAATCACACAAACGCATATTAAAACCACAGATACACATCCCCTTTCTCGATACCTCAAACAAACATTCTTTCACTCTCGCACACTTAGTTATGTCCTCTTACACACACCAGCTGGAATGTTACCTGCACTGGCTTGTAGCCAACACATAATTTAATACAGTGAACTGTGAACAGAGCAGGACACAGAAGGTAATAACCCTATTTATAGGATAGGTTTTAGGCTTAGGTATTCTTGGAAAAGTGTTCCATTCAGTGCACAAATGTAGTCAAGAGTTATGGAATGCCCTTCATAGGAATGTCTGTCACCATCATGCTCTATCTGCCTATAGTTTTCCTTCTGGATATTTAGTATGCTATTATATATTATGATTTTACTTGTCTTATTTTTTGGGTAAGACGATTTTAATATTTGTGATACTCATGCTTTTTAAACAGATACATAAATACAGATTCTTAAGAACTCAATCGTCTTACATGATTGTTGATCAATGTTTGAGACTAAATATATATTTACAATACCATTAAAAGGTTTGGGGTAAGTACTTTTTTAAGAAATTAAGTGAAATTAAATAAATGAAAGACATTTTAAATTGTTACAAAATATTTATTTTAACTTTGTTCATCAAAAATCCTGAAAAAAATGTATCACATTTTATAAAAAATATTAACTGCATTCAGCATTGATACTAATAAGAAATGTCTCTTGAGCAGCAAGTCAGCATATAACAGAATAATTTCTGAAAGATCGTGTGACATTAAAGACTGGAGAAATGGCTACTAAAAAAAATCATAGAGTTCTATACAATTTTTAGATATTAGGGAAGCCAGATTAATCATTTTAAAAGAAAACTAAAAACTTCTCTTCACTTATTTTAGCTTTTAATTAGCAATGACGTTTCTGAAGCATTCCATGCATTATCTTTTTCTTTTATTCCATATTTTAATTTAAATATTTTTATGCATTTTGTTGATAATCATTTTCATCTTTAATTGTATGTTACATTAAATATGGTAATTATGGCTTTATGCTTGTTGTAATATTTTTAGCATTGAACACACTTTGGGCTGCATTTCTTGAATAAAAGGTGCTTATTCATTATTACTATGTATTTCAGGAGCTGCACTCCCTCCCCAATGCCTTCAGGGGGCGCCCGTCACCTATGTGCCTTATCTGCAGCTGAGGCCTACGCCAATCTCCTGCAGGAGAAGAGCCTGAGTAACTTCAAGAACAACCAGCTGCTCTTCCTCAGTGAGCAACAGGAGACCCAGGCTGTTCTGAAAGAAAAAGAGCAGGCCGATCTACAGGTTAATATGCATACTCATAAAACTAAATACATAGTTAAACCATACCTGATGGTGTTCATTTAAAAAGCTGTTTATAATAAAATGTTGCTGATGAGTTTAGTCCATCATCTGGAAGTTTATGTAATGCCGAGTTGAGGCTTTTGTTTGTTTACAGTTACAAGATTGCAATTGTGATCAACTTCCTTCTACAAGTGATAGTTCACAGTGATTCACTAGGACCGTGATTGTGTGTGTTTAAAGGCCTGTTGGAAAAATTTGCTTAAGGAGTGTGTGAAGGTTTTTAAGATCCAATTCCAACTATTGGGGAAACAGAATGACATTGTAATTTTAGCCCAGGGCTCTTCCTGCCACAACATGCCGCAGCGTCTTCTGAACAAACGGAGGTGTTTTAAAGAAATGAGCTCATCCTGAAGCTTTAATCACACAAACGCATATTAAAACCACAGATACACATCCCCTTTCTCGATACCTCAAACAAACATTCTTTCACTCTCGCACACTTAGTTATGTCCTCTTACACACACCAGCTGGAATGTTACCTGCACTGGCTTGTAGCCAACACATAATTTAATACAGTGAACTGTGAACAGAGCAGGACACAGAAGGTAATAACCCTATTTATAGGATAGGTTTTAGGCTTAGGTATTCTTGGAAAAGTGTTCCATTCAGTGCACAAATGTAGTCAAGAGTTATGGAATGCCCTTCATAGGAATGTCTGTCACCATCATGCTCTATCTGCCTATAGTTTTCCTTCTGGATATTTAGTATGCTATTATATATTATGATTTTACTTGTCTTATTTTTTGGGTAAGACGATTTTAATATTTGTGATACTCATGCTTTTTAAACAGATACATAAATACAGATTCTTAAGAACTCAATCGTCTTACATGATTGTTGATCAATGTTTGAGACTAAATATATATTTACAATACCATTAAAAGGTTTGGGGTAAGTACTTTTTTAAGAAATTAAGTGAAATTAAATAAATGAAAGACATTTTAAATTGTTACAAAATATGTTTATTTTAACTTTGTTCATCAAAAATCCTGAAAAAAATGTATCACATTTTATACAAAATATTAACTGCATTCAGCATTGATACTAATAAGAAATGTCTCTTGAGCAGCAAGTCAGCATATAACAGAATAATTTCTGAAAGATCGTGTGACATTAAAGACTGGAGAAATGGCTACTAAAAACTTAGCATTGCCATCACAGGAATAAATCACATTTTAAAATATTTAAAAGTAGAAAAGAGTTATTTTAATAGTAAGAATATTTTAGTTTTACTTTATTTTTGATTAAATAAATGCAGCCTTGGTGAGTATAAGAGATTTCTTTCAAATACATTAAAATATCTGAGCAATGAATACGTATATTGATCTGTCCTTCTATTCATTGTAAAAAAATAAAATAAAATAAAAAACATTATTTCTCTTAGAGTTAAAGATTAACTTCCTATGTTTTAATTTCCATCCCTCTGCAGCATGCATGCAACATGATCTCCAAAAAGCACCCAGTCTGCCAGTATTAGTGCATAAGTGCTCTAATGTTTTTTTTATATATATATTGATTTTCAGGAGTATCTTGATACCCCACATAGCGACACAGAGAGTCTGTCTAGTCTGGACAGCTTAGAGAACAGAGACACTCAGAAGACCCATGACACTACACCGGTTTGTTGCTCCCACCAGGGCACCACCTGTACCCAGTCTTTCTACCTCCCCGTGGATCCCCCTAAGCTCCAAGATCCCAAAAATACTCCAGCACTATTCAGACAGTCCAACAACCCATGTTCACCATCTCACCCCTCCACTTCTGTAGCAAAGAGCTTCCTGGAGGAGTTCTTAAATCAGGAAAGCAAACTCAGTCTCAACTCACCCTCACCAAAGGATCGTGAGTCAACAGAAGAAAACAGGAGTCTCCGGAATTGCACGCAAGGAAGATTTGATAATTCAAAAGACCAATTGCAGACTTTCAACACCCATAGTTGCCAAAAAGAGCTGACTCAGCAGGACTTAGCAGCTAATTCAGAACATATGACTCATGATAATGACAGAAACGCTCAAGGGAACATTTTGAAAGACAAAGGATCTGTGGTTGCCCACTGCAAAACACAAACCGTGCCAGATACCACACCCCTGGAATTCTCAAGTCTGACTAAAGACTTCAAGTCAGAATCCAAGCAGCAGACAAGAACCCTGGAGGAGAAATATGCTAAACATTTCTCAGAAACACAGACGGCTCTTCCAGCCAGCAGATGCAAACACAGCAACAGTTCTTTCGAAGCCTTTTCGTGCTCCTCTGCCGTAACATATCGGACTGACATGAGTTCCTCAAACATACAACCAATAGAAGAATTGAGTTCTTCACAGTCACATAAACGCAAACCAGATGTATATGTTGCCACAGGGCTCAAGATAGAATCCAAACCGCTGAGCATGGAGGAGAGTATAAGCATAGATCCTAAAAATGAAACGGATGTCACCAAATTGGCAAAAGCTGGAATGCTGAATTCTTCTAAAAGCATGGAGGAACCAAACAGAACATCTGCAGACCCCGTGACCCATTCTGCCCCTAACAACAATGTCAGATTCCTGAAAGGGATCCTTAAAAACCATTTAAAATCCAAATCAGGCAATGTCAAATTCACTTACACTCCTGGCCATTTGCTTTTCACCAAAGAAGTGGCCATATTAATCCGGGACAGCGTAGAGCTGGCCAGGACAAAACTCAATGAGCCAGAGCAGAATAGGACGGTTAAGAAGAAACTACGCTGGTTTGATGAGGTAGATGGAGTTGAGGGGGTGGACCGAGTGTTTAGAGACCCCAGCAGGCATACTAACTTGCCTCAACAAACCCATAAACAGCTCTCGGCAGATCACTCGGACCATGTGAATTTACTTACAGCTTTATCAAAGAACATCTCCAATAAGACCTCTGCTGTCCCCGCTGGGCCCCAATCCACTAGACAGGCCTGGGCAGATGTAGGGCCCCAAGAAAGCCGTACACGGGAGCCCACCTCTCAAAGAAGAGCCCTCTGCACTGGGTAATAAGCAGCAAATTAGGAGTTTATTGAGGCAAAAGTCGTAGTCAGTGGTTTGTTAATAGCAAGAATTGGACTTCAAAATAAAGTGTGACTGATCATGTTAATGGTGTAGAGGCTTTAGTAGGCATACATATGTTGTTATTGATAATATGTTGTAATTGTGTCACATTGTGCAGCATTTTCTATTACAGTGTATACTACAAATTACTTGTTGCACCATGATTTAACAAGTTACAACAACCTATATTTATACTAGTTACAAAAGTTATTTACTTTCCTTTTTCTGTATTTTTCCATTCTGCGTCTTTCAAATGTTGGGAATGATTGTTAACCTGCTGTGGAAAAAAGAAACATTTTCAGCAGGTGTCTTTCAACTGACAAGGAACATTCTGGCCACATATTACAATACCAACAATCATGGAATCATCAGCTTCCCATGAACTTTCACTGCACCTTGCCATATAGTCAAATGAGAGTCGATAGAAAGAACTGAGCCCCCTTTGTGTGTCGGCAAGTTCAGCAGCTTTGTTTGAGATTCTTGGGGGATATTTTTCTAGAGTCTTTGGAAAAGGATTTTTTTTAGTGTTGGATCAATAGAGTCTGCACAGCATTGCACCACTTGGGATTACTACTCTGTTGAAATGGATCCATTTAATGATGGACTGTTGTTTCTCAGGGGTCAATTTTTTTTTATAACATCAGGAAACCTCTACATTTTGAGGACAGAGAAGTATTACCTTAATTAGTTAATACGTAAAATGCATTACAATGATTATTTATATAATTCAAATACATATATTACTCTGCATAAATGCATTTTCAACAGTTTTTCTATAAATAATGTATGAAATATTAAATACGCATAGATAGATTGTATACAAAAGTGTTGTGTTGATCATGTGGTAACACTTTAGTATAGGGACCAATTCTCACTATTCTCATCTAGTTGCTTATTAGCATGCCTATTATTAACATATTGATTTATTAGTACTTATAAAACACATATTCTGTACATACCATATTCTACATCCTTAAACCTACCCAATACCTGAACTTAACAACTATCTTACTAACTATTAATAAGCAGCAAATTAGGAGTTTATTGAGGCAAAAGTCGTAGTCAGTGGTTTGTTAATAGCAAGAATTGGACTTCAAAATAAAGTGTGACTGATCATGTTAATGGTGTAGAGGCTTTAGTAGGCATACATATGTTGTTATTGATAATATGTTGTAATTGTGTCACATTGTGCAGCATTTTCTATTACAGTGTATACTACAAATTGCTTGTTGCACCATGATTTAACAAGTTACAACAACCTATATTTATACTAGTTACAAAAGTTATTTACTTTCCTTTTTCTGTATTTTTCCATTCTGCGTCTTTCAAATGTTGGGAATGATTGTTAACCTGCTGTGGAAAAAAGAAACATTTTCAGCAGGTGTCTTTCAACTGACAAGGAACATTCTGGCCACATATTACAATACCAACAATCATGGAATCATCAGCTTCCCATGAACTTTCACTGCACCTTGCCATATAGTCAAATGAGAGTCGATAGAAAGAACTGAGCCCCCTTTGTGTGTCGGCAAGTTCAGCAGCTTTGTTTGAGATTCTTGGGGGATATTTTTCTAGAGTCTTTGGAAAAGGATTTTTTTTAGTGTTGGATCAATAGAGTCTGCACAGCATTGCACCACTTGGGATTACTACTCTGTTGAAATGGATCCATTTAATGATGGACTGTTGTTTCTCAGGGGTCAATTTTTTTTTTATAACATCAGGAAACCTCTACATTTTGAGGACAGAGACCTCAAGAACAGGATAACTGACTTTCATGCATTGGGACATTTTCATTAAACTGTCTTACATCGTCTTCTTTTGTCTTTGTGTTTTTCTCTCTGAATTGACTTAGGTGACCCTCAAAGTTTTCTTGCTCACAATGGCCCGTTGTCTTCTTCGCCTCAAGTCTGTGCCAGTCTGTCCCATGTCACTATCAATGGTGATAGTCTGATCAGTGGTGTCAAAGGAGCCTCAAAAATGGGTGGATTTTTCTTGTCTTCCTCTAACAGTAAGAGTCTAAAGTTTTATGTAACTAATGATGTCAAACAGGCTCTTACAATACATTTATCTCTTAAAATACCAAAAGCCGGGACATTTGCCCTTGCTAGCACAATATAAGTGATAAAAAATGAATAAAGACATGTCAGTTGCTTCACTAGAGTTATTTAGACTTTAATGTTAGAGCTTACATGTGAGCCCATACATCAAGACATTATTTTTCAGATGTTCATGGTAATTGGGTCAGTTATCTAAGGTGAAGTGGTTTGCTAATCACTGAAATGTGCTGCTTAGATATGAATGTACTTTTTAATCAGAGTTTCTTCTGTAAACCAGTGAGAAGTCCAATAAGGAGACAGGCTATGGAGAGTAATATGGTGAAGAGCCGAGTTTCAGTGGAAAACAGCAGGAACCAAACGGCAGGAACAACACAGAGAAAGCCTAGTTTTCCTTATCAGGTAAACATGCACATATTCTAAAGATACTGTCCTAGAAAGCAAAGAAAACTAAGCTATTACTAGAGTTGACTTACAACTGGTTTATTTTGCATAGATGTATTTATAGCATCTAGTTCAGAGTGCTGTGGAAAAAATAAACATTTTCCATAGGTGTCTTTCAGCTGACAAGGATATTTATATCATTTTGATAAATAAATACAAATGAACTTAATTAAAGCAGCCCCTTAGAAGTTTGCTTACCACTTATCTGGTGTGTAGTTAAAATAAAAAAAAGTAATGTTGATGATATACTTGCAAAACTTTGTGTTCATGTTATGTTGCTTTGGCTTTTTAACATTTTTGGAATAAGTGTTCATTAACTGTTGACTTTGTGTTTAACAGGTCACTGAGCCAAAACCTCAATACCCAAATAAAAATGGTCATGCAGCTGACAGTGAAGGTAATTTATCATGTAAATGAATATCTGATATCCTGTTATGTAGATAAATGGGTCTCCTCTGCAGATTTTCAACAGGGCAAGAGCAAAGCATTTTTAAAATGTAAATCTTTTATTCTTATGTACAAACATACATGAATCATGTAAGGTGCAGCATGTTTTTTTTTTTTTTATTGCTCAACCAAAGTAATTTTTATACACAATTATTATTTTTCCAAATATTGTCATTATTTACTTACCGTCATTTCAGTCCCATGTGCTGTTATTCTTTCTTTCTTTCTTTCTTTCTTTCTTTCTTTCTTTCTACAGGATAAAGACATTTTTGAGAAAATGTTATACGGCCATACAATGACAGTTCAAAGTGACAACAGCTGTCAGGCTCCAAAAATAATCAAAAAGTACCTTAAAAATATCATAAAATTAGTCCATATTACACACAATATAATTCGCAGGGAGGGCAGGATTATCAGTGAATATTGCTAAAAATGTCATTCTGTTTTTGCCCAAAGTTATCATATGGTTTAAGAAAACTTGGAATGCGCACAAGATGGACTTGTAAGATACGTAATTGTTGTTTTACTTTATTTTATTTTATTTTATTTATTTTTGTGTGTGTTTGGCACCCCCTAAAATATGAACATGAGGGAAATCGTTGATTTCATTTCCATGTTTTTGCTCATTTTTACAAACTTACACTACCATTACACTACAGTCAGTAAGATTTTTTAGTGTTTTTGAAAGAAGTCGGTAACACTTTATTTCGATAGTCCACTTTAGACATTCTATTAACAGTAAGTAACTTTGCAACTACATGTCAACTAGCAGTTAGTAGAGTATTAGTAGACTGTCTGCTTAATATCTTCTAACACTTTCTTTGTCAACTTATTCTACTAACCCTAAACCTACCCTAACGGTCTACTCTGAGAGTTAGTAGACATGTAGTTGCAAATTAATGATAATTAGTTGACATGTAGTTGACATGTAGTTACAAAGTTACTTATAGTTAATAGAATGTCTAAAGTGGACTATCGAAATAAAGTGTAACCAAGAAGTCTCTTCCATAATACTGGAAAAATATAATATTGTGAAGTACTTTAAAATGTAATTTATTGCTGTGAGGGTAAAGGTAATTTATTACGGTGGAAACCCTGATGATTTTTTAAAAGAATTCTTTGATTAATAGAAGGTTTAAAAGAACAGCATTTATTTGAAATAGAAATCTTTTGTAACATAAGTGTCTTTACTGTCACTTTTGATCAATTTACTTGTTAAAAAAAACAGATTTTGATATGGTAGTGTGTGTGTGTTTTAAATCAAACTGCTATTAGAAGCCAAATTGTTTAACACCCTTGACTTTAAAGGGGTCATATGATGTTGCTAAAAAGAACATTATTTTGTGTATTTGGTGTAATGAAATGTGTTTATGCGGTTTAAGGTTAAAAAAACACATTATTTTCCACATACTGTACATTATTGTTTCTCCTCAGTGAGGTAGACATGTGGGGGCATGTTTGAACGAGGCGTTTTAGGAGGGCGTGGACCAGTTTTAACTTTTATAAAGAATATCTCTTTGGGTTTGCAACTTTAGGGATCTTATCTATTCACGAACAGCTTGTAACACTCCAAAGAGAAAGGAAAACTTGAAATCGCATCATATGACCCCTTTAAGCATCACCATTTAAGCATCAACATTTTCCACTGTTACAGGCCCAGAGGTGTCAGACGGTGCTCATGAAGTAGAGGACTGTGCTCCAACCCATAAGATCTGCAACGGTCCGATTGGTCCATTGAGCCAGAGAATACAGTCGCTCAGTGTCAGCGCTCTGTCACTAGAGGAGCAGAAGATCCTGCAGTCACTCGAGAGACTTAATCAACGCCTGCAATGTCAGTTTCATTTTAAAATCATGTACATTTAATCCACACAGTCAAAGCTTATATGTTTATCACAGATTTGAGGCGAGGGCAGTACCTTTTAATTTTGCCCTATGTGTGCGTTTCTTGTTTTAATGTTTTCAAAATACCAACAGCTGTGTCCCTGATCACTTCCACTTGATTTAACAGATGTGCAAGATACAGCTGGTGGCAACCCAGCAGTGAGGGGCATCTTTACTTTGGGTCCTGCATTTGTGAGTATTGCCCATGTGTTCAGAGGAAGTGATCTGTTCCCTTGAACTAATGTGACCTGCTCACAGCTCTGTCCCCTCTTTCTGTCTTCTCATCCTTGAAGAACCAGACCGGTGAGACTGTAGGTGTCACCGTGCGTAGGCGAGGAGCCTCTGCTGATAATCGCACCCGAACTCAACAGCGTTACTGACTACACCTCCCATGATCCACCACTCCCTCAAGCACCTTCTCTCAGCTGCACTTTGCAAGCCTTTAAACTTTACGATTATATGCTGTATTTTGCTGAGACATACTCAGATACTTTATCTGAGTGGTATTTAATTGTTTTTTAAAGGCATAGTTCACCCAAAAATGAACATTTGCAGAAAATTTACTCACCCCCTGGCCATCCAAAATGTAAATGAATTGATTTTTTCATTTAGACAGATTTGGAGAAACTTAGCATTGCATAACTTGCTCACAAATGAATCATCTGCAGTGAATGGGTGCCGTCAGAATGAGCGTTCAAACAGCTGATGAAAACATCGCAATAATCCACAAGTACTCCACACATCTCCAGTCCATCATTTAACATCTTGTGAAGTGGAAAGCAGCGTATTTGTAATTAACAAATCCATCGTTAAGACATTTTTACTTCAAATATCCATTAATCCATAATATTGCTTTTCCCAGTGAAAAGTTGTCTCTTCTGAATCAGGAGAGAAATATGCACAGATCAAGCAGTGTTTATAAGCAAAAACAGTCCTAAACAGTTCTAAACAAATCTAAAAGATTTTGATGCAAGAAGATAACAGGAGGAAGTTTTTACTGGAGGAAGCATTATTATGGATTTTGGAGGCAACAGTTTAAAGTTCAAAAGCCTTAATGATGGATTTGTTTCTTATAAACAGACAGCTTTTCACTTCACAAGATGATAATAGATTGACTAGAGTGTTGTGGGTTATTGTGATTTTTTTTTTGTCATCTCTTTGGACTCTCATTCTAACGGCACCCATTCACTGCAGAGGAAAAATTTCTCTCAATTTCTCTAAATCTGTTCCAATGAAGAAACAAACTCATCTACATCTTGAATGGCCTGAGGGTGAGTAAATTGTAATTTTTGAGTGAATAACTCCTTTAATCAGGTGTAATATGTGTGAAATGATTCTGGCAATACACAATACCTAATGTTTGTGTAATAAAACATTTTTAAAAAATATTTGAAAGAAAATTTATTTTATGTTCATGTGTTGTTTGCCTTCTAATTAGTTGGTATTTCTTTTTTACCTTAAGATTCTAAATATATTTTCATAAGAATTGTATGTATACATATTTGTATTTTTATTCTAAACAATCTTGACTCTTGGAGAAAAATAAATTAATTTGAGAAAAAAAAAAGTTTTGTTTCATTTTGTTTTCTTAGTGCCAAGACAGGATAAAGGGCTTTTTGTGTAACTTGACCTCAGTCAAGTGTCGGTTAAGCATAAAATAGATACGGATTTACATTGTATGTGTGGCATAATCATGACAGGTTTTTCTGGGTGTGTATTTTACGTTTGTATGTGTGTGCCTGTGACCTGTGTGAGTGATGTTTGTGTGTGTGTGTAATCAGTGTATACATGCATGGGAAAGCTTATCTAGGTGTGTGACAGTGACGTTTGAGTGACTATTAATTACTCCAGTGCATTAGAGACTCACCACACAGGCTTTGCAGGATAACGAAGTCAAACTCCTGATGCTCTTGTGCCATTACCAGCCTATAACTGTCATCATGTCATGTAACCCCTCTGTACAAAGCTCTCATTCTTTTTACAAAACGTACTATTCTGAGCATTTAATTGCTACATCAAGGAAGGCTACATTTTCAGTTTGCTACAAGTTTGCTTTTTTGATTATTATTGCAGAATCTTACATATATTTTTTGGTTTTGTTTTATTACCTTTTATATAAATTTTTTTTTAAATATATTTGTAATAAGTCTCCTATGCTCACAGTAAAAATGATCAAAAGTACAGTAAAAGTAGCATTTCTATTTTTCCCATTTTTATTACAATTTCTATTTTTCAGTTTTTTTAATCTCTCTATTTAGTCTTTTTTTATTTTATATATTTATATTTGATATATTTATTTTTACTTCCATTTTCTTTCTATTTCTATAAATCCTATTTTCTATCTTTTATTATTGATCATTTTTATTTATTCCTGTGATGGAAAAGCTGGATTTTCTCAAGTCTTCAGTGCCACGTGATCCTTCAGAAATCATTCTAATATGCTGATTTGCTGCTCAAAAAATATTTCGGTAACACCTTCTATGAAGCCCGTATTTATAATACATTATAAGGGTATTCTTAAGGAATGCATAATGCTTTATAAAAAACCTTATAATATGTTATATCAACTCATGAATAATCATAACAACAGTTATAATATATCATAATACGTATTTGTGGTTATAAGTTTAAGAGTATGATTATTTATAACACACAATGAACACCATATTAAATCTACTTCATTTACAGAATAATGGGCTGTATCATATCTTGACATTGTTTATTTAAGATCTGCACAGTATCTTACTACAGCTTGTGAGTGGTTAGATGTTGAGTGTTATTTGAGTGTTTCCTGTGGAGCTAATGTTAATTAATTGATGTGAGCTTTATACTCCAACTGAAAAAAATGCAATGTTTTATATGGTTACATTTTATTTTGATGGTCCCTTAATCAATCGACTATAAGCAACTTTGCAACTACATGCCAACTAACTCTCATTAGAGTATTAGTATGCTCAAGAATGGTAGAATCTAGTATGGTAGAATAAGTTGACGTACTTGCAAAGACACTTATAGTCAGTTTATCTGTTGGTTGACCATCAAAATAAAGTGTTAGCAAATATTTACAGTAGCAGACATACTAATACTCTAATGACCGCTAGTTGATATGTAGTTGCAGAGTCACTTATCAACAGCTGTTTAAAGGGTACCATCAAAATAATCCAACTGATATTACAATAAAAATAGTTCAAAGCAAATGTGTCATATTACACATTCATCTGATCTGATATCTGATCTTATGGCTGTTTGAGAGAAAAAAATGTTATTATTATTATTACTATTATTATTACTACTTCTTATAAGTGGTATTTGACCGCTTTAAGTAAAGTAGCATAAGAAAAATGGCAAGATATGAGACTTACAATACATTATAACTATGAGAAATATAATCCATTGTAAAAGTGGATGCAACTTGTGTATATTGTGTTATAAATCATCATACTCTTAAAAGCTATAACCACAAATAAGTAAATATTATAATATATTTAAACTGTTCTTATGAATATTTATGAGATGATACAACATATTATAAGGTTTTTTATAATGCATTATGCATTAATTATAATGCCTTAAGAATACCCTTATAATGTATTATAAATACGGGCTTCATAGAAAGTGCTACCAATATTTCTTATCAATGTTAAAAACATTCGTGCTGCTTTTTTGTGGAAACCATGATGCATTTTTCTTAGGAGTCTGTGATGAGTAGAATAGAAAAAGAACAGCATTTATTTGAAAAAAATTAAATTAAATTAAATTAAAACTTCAGTAACATTATAAATGTCTTTACTTTCACTTTTGAAATATGCAAACAGAATACAATATTTGCAAACAGAATTAGTAAGATGAATTTCTTTCCAAAATAAAAAAAAACTTTGTAGTAGTGTGTGTCACGGTGTGCCTACAGTGAGGAGCGAGGAACGAGGAGAATCAGGATTAACCGTCTTTATTGACATCACAGGAATCACACGTAGGACACGGGGATCGACGTTCATCAGACATTCACAATACCGGACGAGGAAGAATGGAAACACACACGGCTTAAATAGTAAGGGAGCTCATGGGACACATCTACAATAGAACTAAAAGGGGAACACCTGGGGCAAGTTCAAGCTCAAACCGGTGTGCACCGTTTTTGTCGGGGCTGAACGCAGCCCTGGAAACACAATCAGGACAGGAACAGGAAGACCAAATAAGGACATAAACATAACCTGGAGCACGTGGGGGAGCAAAACACACCAAAACACGGAACAGAGTCTGACGGTGTGTATATGTTTTTTGTTTTTTTTGTTTTTTGTAACGGCCACTACTGTGCTTAAATGAAACATAAAAATAAATCCTCTCTAAACCAATGCAATTATTTATTGTACTTTGTAAATATATTTAGAGACAACAAAAAAAATCACAATTTACTAAATCACTAAACAACACACAGTTTGGAATTTTTAGACATTTTTAATAATAAATCATTTTTTAAAAAATCTTAAAATAAGAAATTATTGTCCAGAGGAGAACTGGTCTCCCGAATGAATCTGGTTTCTCCCAAGGCTTTATCTCTCTCTTTCTTTTCACTTCACAAGATGTGTGAATTACATGTGAATTATTATCAGCTGTTTGGACTCTTGTTCTGACCGCACCCATTCACTGCAGAGGAACCATTGGTGAGCAAGTGGTGTAATGCTAAAATTCTCCAAATCTGTTCCAATGAAGAAACACATCTATATCTCCGCTGGCCTGAGGGTGCGATACATTTTCAGCGAATTTGCATTTTTGGGTAAACAGTTCGTTTAAATGATCGTTGAAAAAATTTATTTCAATAATCTTGCATTTAATTGCACATTGTACAGTGTAAATATTTTTAATGTTAATTTTTAACATGAACTTTTCTAAAAAAAATAAATAAATAAATAAAAATCTTTTAAAAGCTGAATAGATTACAATTTGTTGTGACATAAACAATATTTAAACTGTTCTTATGAATATTTATGAGATGATACAACATATTATAAGGTTTTTTATAATGCATTATGCATTAATTATAATGCCTTAAGAATACCCTTATAATGTATTATAAATACGGGCTTCATAGAAAGTGCTACCAATATTTCTTATCAATGTTAAAAACATTCGTGCTGCTTTTTTGTGGAAACCATGATGCATTTTTCTTAGGAGTCTGTGATGAGTAGAATAGAAAAAGAACAGCATTTATTTGAAAAAAAATAAATTAAATTAAATTAAAACTTCAGTAACATTATAAATGTCTTTACTTTCACTTTTGAAATATGCAAACAGAATACAATATTTGCAAACAGAATTAGTAAGATGAATTTCTTTCCAAAATAAAAAAAAACTTTGTAGTAGTGTGTGTCACGGTGTGCCTACAGTGAGGAGCGAGGAACGAGGAGAATCAGGATTAACCGTCTTTATTGACATCACAGGAATCACACGTAGGACACGGGGATCGACGTTCATCAGACATTCACAATACCGGACGAGGAAGAATGGAAACACACACGGCTTAAATAGTAAGGGAGCTCATGGGACACATCTACAATAGAACTAAAAGGGGA